AAAGAGAGAGAGAGAGAGAGAGAGATGTATAAATAAGAACCGTTGCCATACGCCCTCAACGCTACTGAATATATTCCTTCGACTGGAAGGATTGCAAAAAGAACTTAGGTAGAAGCGGGTGAAATCTGCCATCTACATGTATGATAACCTTGTTTTTACACAGAACCGTTGGCAGCTGGTACTCCATAGTTCTGATTACAGACTACTGGGAGGAATCCTTGGTGTTGTTGAGAAGAACGTTTTGCTGGACCATGTACGACATCCTCCACACAACCAGGATAGCCCACATTCAAACGGACCCCAGAAAGTCAGCCCCACTCACGGACAAACAGATAGAAACTCACAGAAAAATCACACCCATAGACTATCTCATATACGACTACTTCAACAGGACCTTTTGGGAACGGACAACCAAGGAAGGACCCGAGTTTTGGGACGAGGTGGCGTATTTTAAAACACTGAATCTCCAAGTAAACGACTACTGCATACGTATGCTCCCTGAAGGAGATAAAGTCTTTCCTAGCGGCAAATGGAGCCGAGAGTTTTTGGTTGACTCGACCTTCTGTGATGAACTGGACTGGACCACTGAGCAGTGGAATTCAGCCTTGTTGCTCCAACTCGAAAGGCAAAACGAAGAGTTGAGACAAAAAGAAGCCTAAATCAAAACTGGATGCTGCAAGGGCAAATCTGCATCTTATGTAAAATATCCAAGTCAGAGAATACACTTTACTCTGTAGCAGAGAATACAAATAATTAAGATACTTCATGTACTTAACGTTTTCTCAGAAAATGTATTTTTCTTTGTATCAAAGAATATGGTTTACTTTGTATCAAAGAATATGTTTATTTTGTATTTTGTATTTTGAGCTTCAATATATATTTTGTGCTGATATATGATATTTTGTGCTCCAAAGTGTCCGATAATATACTTTACTTTGTAGAACATATATAGGAGAATATACCTTACTTTGCCAGTGAGTATATCTTTTTATACTTCGTATCAAAGTTCAAAGGGCAAAACTTTACTTTGTCTTTGTATCACGGAATATACTTGACTTTGAGTCTCTAGAGAATATACATTACAGAAATAACCTAGCGGTCATTGGACATCGCATGTTGAACAGCTCGTTTATACACAAAATGCCGGTGTAGAAAATAAGTGACCGCGTCAGTTCATAGTCCAAACGTCGATAGCTGCTGCATATCAAATTTGTGGCTACATGTACTTAAAAATAGAACATGGCCTTCCTTTGAAACAGGTTAATTATAATATGCACGTCTGTTGCCTTACGATAATAAACCTGTTTTTAGTAGTATTATATGACTTCACCTTAAAGTCAACTTTATTTTGCGTAAGTTCCGACTCCCAGGCGCACTATAATTGCAAAGTAGACAATCAGGAAATTCGGGGGGACTTTTCCGGATCCACAAGCCGGGATGACTTCCTGATAAACAAAAGAAGGGCTGATTCTGATGTTCATTATTTTTGTATTGCCCCTATAAATGTCCTAAAGTGTCTTTTAGTTGTCCCAGTCTTAATTTTAGTGGTGAGTGGCCATTGGACCACAATTAATTTCGAGCCCTGACATGATGGTCGTGCTTACCTGTGGCGGATCCCCCAGCTCCCCCAGAAGTCTGTGGACGGTGCTCCAGTCAGGGACGCCCGGGGAGAACTCAGCCGGCGTCACGCTGTCAAACTCCGGCATCGTGCTTGTACAACTTGGCCGAAAAAAAAGACAGTTTGTTTATAACCAACGATCTGTAGCTACATGTAGTTTGATGGCTTCCTCTAAAACTCGAAGTGCAAGAAAACAGACTTACCAGGTGTTCCAACAGGTGTGCAGAGAAGGAGAAAGACTTCTGACCCATAACAAAGGTCAGCTTACTGCCACACCCCCTCAAAAGGCATTGGTTAATGTAACGACCAAAGTCCAGTGTTGGATAGCCTGGTCGCCAGCTCTTTGGCCAACATGCCACCCCCCCCCCCCCATTTGGTTGAATATTGCCAGAGGTGTTAGCCAACCTACTAGCAAGCTAAAGTACACCTTTGCAACCAAAGCTCAGTCGGCTTGGTGGTCACTTAGTACTGGCGAGCTGTACAATACACTATGTCACACTTTTATATTACACTTGAAAAAGAGATGCCTCTGGATGCTGTAAATACATGTACATTTTTTTTTCACCTTTCAATACTGAAACTGTTTTTGGTGGCAGAACTAAATTCTTCCTGGGTAGACTTGGACAAATTGTCAACTGCTTGATGCCACAAGACCCACAAGACCCAACTCATATCAACATTATCTGCCCCACTAGTGAATGTCAGTGACTGATGCGTACACTAGAAATACAAACATACATGAGTCAACAAGTTTTATTGTCCAAAAGATAGACAAAGTAGTAATGATTTGGTACCTTTTTATAATCTAGGCTACAATCATTTGTCCATTCTGTAAACCAATAGTAATACTAACTAAGCAATCTTTTCAAGACATACATTTCTAGTGTTGTTTAGTATGTAATGATAGCTACATTGTATCCCAATATGTCTACATGTACAATGTAATGTACTTTGTCCTAAGAAATACATACAAACACAAAAAGCAATCCTGACATTGTTGAAAACACATCATTACATTTGCAAGCAAAACAGTAAGTAAATTTTTGGCAAATTCTCCATTTTAGATGACTATGGTAACAAGACATTGAAAGAAGGTGCAATGGATGCACATAAATAAAGACCAATATTTTCAATTTTTTCAAACAGTAAGGCCCTCTTGGTCAATGTAAGACAATTTGTGTTAAGAATGTCTCGGCCCTGCTTTGATACCAAAACAGACCTACTTTATGTCACAACTGATGAGACTTGTACACATATCCATGATAGAGTTGAGTACAGCTCCAATTCGTACATTTTTCAATAATCATGATCATTGAAGAGATGATATAGCACATATTCTTATCAGGGGAAGTAACATGACTGCCCTCTGGTTCAGTGATAACACTGAGTCCACCTCAACAATATTATTTGTCTCCCAGACTTTGAACAACTGTAAACTCCATGTCAAGATAAACAGCATCTTTAAGGTTCAGCAATCATTTGACACAAAGTCAGCCATTTGCACTTGCAATTCCTGCATCTGAATTCTTTCATCTGAGAAACAAGTCACATTGTTGAGGTGGGTTGAAGTTGGTGAAATCAGATTTCATGTGTACACAAGTTGGATCAGTCTTCAGGTTACAGCGTCTGTATGATGAGTTTGCGCTTCCCGTCGTGGGTGAACCTGTTGGTCTTGAAGACGTCGCTCTCGTAGAACGCGGACAGGTTGTGGATACCGATCTGACGGGCCTGATGGGGTTGACAAGAGGAGGTGAGGACATTTACAAAATTTCGGGAAAAAATTATTGCATGGCATAGACATACTCGTGGTGTAGCTCTTCTCAAACAATCAGCCCTACAGTTTAATACTGGAAAGTTTATTGCAAATACATGCCCGAGGGCTAATTGCAGGTACAAACAACATGTATGAAAAAAGAAAATACAATAGTATGAGAGACTACGTCTATTATACTATATTCTACAACACAACATACATGGTACATGTACTAGTTTTGCTGGGTTTGACTTCTTCTTTTGAGGCTGTGGAACACACATTTGCCTACTTTTTCTATAATGTATCTAGGTTCTTTGATTGTAGTAGTAAAATTGTTTTCTCATGGTAGGAAATAGTGGGAAGTAAGGGAGCATTTTGGACATGATGGTTAATAATTTTTTTCTGTTATCGTCAAAAAATGAGCAATTCATCCCCACCTTGTCCTGCAGATCCTTCTCGGAGACCTCCACGAAGTCCTGGTCAGTGTTCCCGTAGCGGTTCCTGTGGAAGGACAGCTGCTCCTGCACCAGCTGTCGCAGGATGAAGAACAGCAGCTCGTTGTTGTCTCGCCTGAACGCCAAGTAACGGGCAAAGTTCTGTTGGAAAAAAAGGTATGTGTTTGTATTAACTACTACAAGGGAAAGGGAACTTGCTGCTGCTGTGAAAGGAAAGGTAAAAGCCAAAATTCTGTGGAAGAAAAACACCAAAGTACCCTGGTAAATGTGTCTGGATACAGTTTCACCCAACTGAAGAGGTACCCTTCTACTATCTGTGTTGGTAGTTACCATGCGTAAAGTTAAAACTTTTGATCCAACACAATAAAATTCTCTCACCTAGAGTTTTCGACCAGTCATGCTGGTCTTCTTCAGAAGACTGACCCAGTAAGGCTTGTAACGTGGCTTCTTTGAAGTGTGATGTCAACACTGGAAGAAACCACGTGACAAGCCTCACTGGGTCAATCTATCAAAAAAGACCAACTCTGTCCCTGTTTCAACGGTTTCAGAAAGTGCCAGTACACTTTCACTGCAATCCCAGTACAATTTAAGCACAGCTTTAGCACAGTTTCAGTACACTGTCCCACCTTTCTCATGCTCCTCATGACGCTGTACTTCTGCGTGTCGATGAAGCTCTCCAGCATGACGCGGATGGCCATGTTCACGTCATCCTCGTTCACGTAGTCCCGCAGGTGCATGCGGGCGTGAGCCTCCGCCATACGGATCATGGACTCGATGTGTCGTACCGTGATCGGCACACTGCCTGTGGCCTGAATGATTAGATGTCAACATTAGCACAGGAGTATGCACTTCTCCACTGTCATCATTATGTTTACCGAAGGAAAACATACTGTTTTTGCTGTTTCCTCCTCTTCTTCTTCTCCAAACCAATAAGGTCAATGACCTGAACCAGACGTCATCATGGTAACTGGTGTTGGGTTACATCATGTTGCAACTTTATAGCAGGAGACTCCTGTCACCATATATATGAATGTGTTTAAGTAATATGTAACAGACCAGACCATATGCGAAGATAAACATTATGAATTTGCTAAGCAAATATTTACCCTTCTAGTATTCTTCTAGTAGTACTCTATCTGTTATTTACCCATGCCAACTCAAATTTCCTGGTTCCCAGATATGAAAAATGGTTTCCTAGTCTTACCATGGACTCCCTGCGCAGGTCTGAGTACATGCGAGCCACCTTGTCCTGGTCCATGTTGTGCAGTTTGGGGTGAACCTTCTCCTTACTGTAGATGACATACTTCTTAAGGAGGTCCTGAGGAACTGGCTCCACTCCTGAGGTGGTCGGGGGCATCTCCTGGAGACAAACAACAACGTCTTAAATTTCAGGACAACACCAAGACAACTACAGCATGACCTCTCAGCTTTAAGCACAACTTAAAGGCATCCAGTGCAGTTTTTAGGGCTTGGAAACCAGATTTGTAAAGTCAATAGTCTAGTCACTTATCTACATACAGATTTGAAACCACCCTATCCCAATGTATATTGACCCTCACGGAGCAAAAATACCCAAAATTCTGACGGAAAATGGTTACTGGAAGGGCCCTTCATTGACTTTTAGGGTACCACCCAAAAATACAGTAGTGTCAATATCATAAAGATTGCATTATTCAGAATATTTCCAGTTTTGCTGCTCTGAAATCGCATTGGATGCCCGTAAGGGTTTAAGCAATACGACCTAACACCTGAGATTACCTTGTATGCCCACAACAGAGTTCTACAATGTTTGTAAAGTTTACCTGAAACATAAACAACTGTCTTGTAGTCTCTCTTCTGGCTTTTATCGTTCTACTTGACTCTTGGTCTTTCTACCTATAAAAGATACGCTGTAGGCTTACCTGTTGCACTCCATCTTCCCCACTGTTGGAGGGGTGGTGTCTGATGTGACTGTTTACAACAAATCTGGCCAACAATTCGTCCTGCAGTAAACAAACAATATTACATCTTAGCAACAAACCCATCACTCATAAACTTCACAATCACAAATATTAAGGGCTCAAGTACAAGCACAAATATTAAGGGCTCAAAATATTTGAAATGATGTAGAACTGTACAGTACATCTGGTACAGACCTGTACAGGGTCCACCGTATCCCTCACCACACACAGGATGTCAAATCTGGACAGGATGGGCTCTGGGAGGTCCACCTGGAGCAACAATATCATTCAGTTAAAACAAGAAAACTTATCACATTATCGTAAATATTGCTCACTAATGAGTTGGTCTTATGTGGTGATAACAGGAAATACAAATGTATTGTATAACAAACTGATACATGTTCACTGTTCTGCTGAAATTCTCTTTGCAACAGTAGTAAAACTAGTATTGCAACTAGTAGGCAACCTTTCAGAATGGAATATCTTTGTAAGGTTACACGTTTTATCACCAAATTAAAGACATTATGATGCAAGGGAAATCATGATCTTTCCAATGACATGTAAAAGTTAACTGTATCTTCAGTAAAAAAAAAAAGTTAAAAAATTGGATCTCCAAGATGGCTGCCTTGAAATCAGGAAACTGAACTTCCCAGTTCAAACTGACCAGTGTTAAGTGTCCTTCCAATAAACCTATTAAATTATAGAAGCATCAAGTCTCACATTTTCAGCAAAGGTGAGGGAGGGGTCGTAGCGACCCCCGATGGGGTTAGCGGCAGCGAGGATGGAACACCGCGCCTGTAGGGATGTGACGATGCCTGCCTTGGAGATGGAGATGGTCTGCTGCTCCATGGCCTCATGGATACTGGTACGGTCAGCATCGTTCATCTACAGAGATATCAGAAAATTAGAACAGATCACAATCTTAGTGTAAATCTACAGATGTAAGACACACTCTGGGTTTGAAATGCCAAAATCTCTCTATCCTGTTTAACATGATTTTCCCCCTAGAATTGGGGGTTAGACTGGGGGTTTTTGAAGCAAGATTTTTTACAGCTGGATGCCCTTCCTAACGCCAACCCAAACCCTAGTAGGGCCCAGGATCCCCTATCTGAGGGGGGGAAATACGTGTTAATTATAAGTGCCTTTCTCAAGGACACAACGTCTGGGTGCAACCCTGGGGATTGAACCTGGGTCTTCTTGCTTGACAGTCGGATGCTCTACCACTACACCACACAGACGCTACAAAATGTCAATGGAAACATTCTATGATTTTATTCCCTTGTGTTCTTTTGTGTTCTCACCGAGTCAGTCACTCACTAAAACTCGCATTCTCAAACCTGTCAATGAGACAGAAAGTTACTGGCTGGCAGAAGGCTCATTCATTCTTCACTCTCTCACCTTGTCAAACTCATCGATGAGACAGACGCCCCTGTCGGCCAGCACCAGGGCTCCGGCCTCCAGTGTCCACTCCCTGCTGACCGGGTTCCGCTGGACATACGCCGTCAGACCCACCGCCGATGCACCCTGGCCTGGAGAGGAGGAATGATCAAGATTTAGAATGTAGAAATGTATGTATAATACCAAGAAAGACAGTGGAAAGCAATGATGTATTGCAAAAATTAAGGCAACACATTCACAAGCAGTGACATTATCATAAAAATTCCAGAAGTTTAAAGTCACATCATGCTATTTCCAGTCACACTAGTACTACATGTATAGTAGTAGTAGTAGTATTACTGTAGTACTAGTAGAAGCAGCAGTCGTAGAAGTAGTAGCAGCAGTAGTATAGTATAGCAGCAGCAGTAGCAGCAGTAGCAGTAGTAGCAGTAGTAGTATTAGTATTAGTAGCAGTAGTATAGTTTACAGTTAATCTGCTACGCTTCCTTCCTTCTGGTACCATCTGCAATATTTTAAATGGTCAGAAAACACTTAGCTGATAAGCAAAATCTTGACCAGTAATTTTGTTCGAGTAAAATTAAGATGCCTGTCATTAAGTTCAAACCCTACCTGTAGTGAAGACAGGCCGGTGTGCCGTCTTCTCCACATACTTGAGGAACTGAGACTTGGCCGTCCCTGGGTCACCACACAGCAGGACGTTTATGTCTCCTCGTACCTTGTGCTTCTGGCCTGAAGACACAGAGAACCAATCATGACTAGAAAGATAACATTTGCAAAGCAAATGCATAATGATATTGTTTACCTTCGTATATATGGTCTGCTCTGTTATAGTGTTAATTCTTACTCAAACACATTCATATATATGGTTAGACAGGAGTCTAAATCTCTCCTGCTATAAAATTGCAACATGATATAACCCAACACTAGGTACCATGGTGACAGACGTCTGGTTCAGGTCATTGACCTTATTGGTTTGGAAGAAAAAGAAGAGGAAACAGAACAAAAACAATATATTTCCTTCGCGTGATCGGTAAACATAATAATCTGTTAAACACGGGTTTATCATTGCATGTAGACATACATGTAAAAACTGGGAGACAGGAAACTATGGAACAGTTTGTGGAAGGCTATCATACCTGGATTTTTGGCTTCTCCTCCAAACAGAGCCAAAGCCAGGGCTCTCTTGATGTCATCATGACCGTATATGGAAGGAGCCATGCTGGCAAATATCTGTAAGAAAAGCATGGCAACATTAGACTAGTGTTTCAAAGGAATCAAAAACCTAACACAAAGATATATGATCTGTTCATATGAAGCTGTAAATTACAGTGATTTTGGCCATGATATTTGACTTCTATAATACATTTACATGTAGGTACATAATTATGCATTACTGGCTGAGAGAAATATAAGCCACATGGTTCTACTTGCTAATGATTTTCTCCAAGCTCTATGTACGAGTTCAAGCAAAATAAACTTGTTCCACAAACGTTCTACCTTCTCTCCGATGCGTTCATCCTTGGAAAGCGCCACAATGGCCTTGACATCGTCGTCTGTCAGGCTACTGACGGCCAGTTTGTCATCCTTCTTGGTGATGTAGTTGGCCTGGATGACAGTGGCGAACACCGGAAAACCATTCGCCATGTTCAGGGAGCCGTCATAGTTGTTGTGGTAGATGCCGGTAAGTTCCTGCAATACAAGCAAAACAAAGTGTTGGCGATCATGAACCACAGTCCATAAGTAAAAGATACAGATCAGAAATTATTACACTAAATATATGAAAAAAAGCTATTTGGGTATTCAAATGTGGGTTCATTCAGCACGTTGACAGAACGTACTGCACCTGCGCAAAACCCAGATTTTTCACGGTTTTCGTCAGGTTTTAGGTCAACGTTGCATCAGAATTTTGCCTGTTGCAGAAGATATCTTTTCTGACTTAACATTTGGAAACTACAGATGGAATGGTAACCTTATATGCACAAATACGACCTTATGTGAGACGTCCTATACATACGTCCTATGCACAATACATTACGGGTTTTGCGCAGGTGCAGTATGTTCTGCCAGCGTGCTGGTTCATTCCAAGTTTACTTACAATCTCGTCCCCAGGTTTACAGGAGTCCACAAGGTCAGCGAGCAAGATGGCGTCTTTGGAGCGCGGCAGACGGCCGGCGGCGACCTTCCCCGGGCTCTCCTGGATGGTGATTCGCTGGTAGTTCTGGTACACCGTCTGGTAAGTGATGAAAAGTTGTACAATCAGTTATCAAACATTGACTTGGAGAACAAAAGTGTCCTCATGCAAGTTTTACTTGTTAAACTGTATTGTATACATTGGACCACAAGTTGGATCACTTAGAGATTGCCAAAGTCAAGCAAAAGAAAAAAAAGATAATCTCTAATTACCAACCCGAATTTTTACAGGACTGAAACAGGAAACACAACATTTTTTCCCTAGGCCGTAACCAGCGTGAAAGTCCTACCTGTTCCATGTTGATTTCAAACGGCCCGTTGGACTGGCACTCAGGACAGGAGCCCGGCTTGACCTCCTGGTTCTGTGTCTGGTAGAAGGGGCCGAGCACGAAGCTGCACTTCTGACAGTCATACTTGATCATGGACAGCTGGGGCAGGATTCCTGTGGTGCTGGTCACCACTCCGCTAGTACGGATCAGCTGGTTCAGATGCAGCTGTCTGTGGGACAAAAACTACTATTTTACCTCCTCCTTCAGGGCTCGAAAATCCTTATTTCAGGTATGTGCAAAATTGCACGTTTGCAAACATTTTAGGTGCAATTTGAAAAATTTATGTGCAAAATTGTATTCATTTTAGTTGCTCTACAACTGTTTTCCACCTGGTTTGAAAATGGTACTAGTATACGATTTCTTTTTCCAGGCCTGGTGACTCAGGGGAAGGATCCTGCTAAAATTATGTGAACATTTTGCATGATGTTTCAACTTAAAAATAAAAAAAAAATGAAAAGCTTTCAAATAAGAAGAAATATCAAGAGCAATAAATTATTTTTATTTTGCATATCTGTTTCTCTTGATTATTGTGCACGACATGAGTAAAATATGCTTATAAAAATAAGTTATGGCTATTCCTATCATGGATTTGGGTCAAATGTCACCCAAATGTGTACGGGACTGATATAAACTAATGTAAGGATACAATATACACCCCCACAAACTATTGGACCAGTCCGGTCAGAGGTCACGGACTGCACATGTTCTGACAAGAATACATTTCATATCCCAGCACTTCTCGCATCTTCATTCCTGGAGTGATTACTTATAAGTTCCAATATTTTCACCAACTGGACACTTATATTGGTGGCAGCGGTGTCTGGCTTCGAACTCCCGCCAGCTCTGTCTTGTGGATCGCATTTGGAGCACATTGCCGACCGACGTTCGAGCGCCCCCCTCCCCCACCTGGTTGACTCGTGTCTACCCTGCTCTACCAAGACTCCAGGTATGGCTAACCTCCGTCCGTTTACGCTAGAAGACGATGAGGAAATTACCTTTCCACGGCTGCGACCACTGTTGTCACCTTCAGAAATTTCCCCCATTCAATCCCGTGGCGCATCCGGTGTCCGAACTGCAACCACCCTCCCAGGCGCCCTCCCACGTACAACACCACAGGTGGGTCCCACACCACTGTACAATCAGTATGCTCAGTCTGCTTACGCTACAGGATCTTTTCCTGTTAGGGGTACCGTGCCCACAGCCACGTCTGTTGCTGAATCCAACACTCATGGGACCAGCCCTGCCGGGGCTTCTTACCACCAGGCTCCACCCCCTGCCATGACTCAGGACACCACCAACCAGCAACCCTCGTCAGACCTCCGCCTCAAGACAAGACTGCCGCCCACATTTAACGGCACTGATGATGACTTCACCTTGTGGCTCAACAAATTTGACCTTTATGCCACTTCCCAGAAGTACACCCCTGAGGAACGTGCCATGGCCCTCCCAACTTTCCTTGACCACCATGCCCTGCGTTTCTACCTTGGTTTGCCGAGGCAGGCCCGTGCTACCTATTCAACACTGACTCAGCGCCTGGCCACTGCCTTTTCCAAGGAACACTACATTTACACGTTCCGCCAGTCGCTCCAGGAACGAACACGCCAACCTGGAGAACCCTTGATCGTATTTGCACTTGATCTACGCAGGTTGGTAAGCCAAGCCTATCCTGAGTACAACGAAGCAGCGGTTGAGGGGCTTACCTTGGACTACTTCTTCAGGGGAATTGATCCTACCATCCGCAGACGGCTTCGCGAGGTGCAGGCCACAACAGTGGACCAAGCAGTCAAAACCGCTACCATGCTGGAACAGGCCGCTACAGCAGCTGCATGGGAGGCCAACAACGCTCATGCTGTCGATCCTACCTTCCATCACCCCGCGGTGAGTGCCGTCCGCAACGATACCTCCCTACACCGTACTGTTGCTGACCTGGCCCGCCAAGTATCAGACTTGACAGACCTCTTGAAACACCACCGCATCTCCCCCACCGATGACCCTCCGCGGTCCACGTCTCCTTTCCGTCCCCGATCCAGAGGGAGATCACCGTTCCGCTCATCAGACGCCAGCCGACGTTCTGCTCGCTCCCCTTCTTGGGACAGAACCTCACGTCGCCCTTCTTCTAGAGACAGGGACTACCACCGTCCGTCTTCCGACCGTTACCGTGCCCGCTCGCCTTCCTGGGAGCGTGATTCCCGACCTCCTTCCACTGATCGTCGCCAGAGTCGGTCTCCATCTCGCTCGGTACGTTTCGCATCATCTTCCACACAGGGAAACGACCCTCTGCTGGCACCACGGGCCGACCGCCAGTAGATCACTCCCAGGCCCGCCACGCCTCACCTACTGCTCACACTACAGCAGTCCTCGACGGACATGCCACCCGCATTCTTATAGACACGGGTTCAGCCATATCTCTAATCAGCGAAACCTTACGTGATACGATTCCTTCTCTCCGGCAATCCCAACTCAAACCTTCCTTCACCACAGCAAAATCAGTCACCGGTGAACCACTTGATGTCCTCGGCGTGTTGGACATCCACATCCGTATTGGTAACTACGACACCTGCCACCCCGTCCATATTGTGCGAGGGGCTGACCAGACTGCCCTGTTAGGATGGGACTTCTGCGTCTCCAACTGCGTAATTCTTAATGCCAGTAGAGGTACCCTCACGGTAGGGGACGAGATTGTGCCTCTCCTGACGGACACAGAACTGATTCCACAAGTCTGCAACGCATCCGTGTGCCGGATCACCACAGTCCCACCCCACGCGGTGATGGCCGTTCCCATCACCCTCACTCCTCGGGATGCCCATGGGGTTTCTCTTCCCACGTATGTTGGCATGCTTGAACCTCGCCAGCACGACGACCGCGGCCTTGCGGTGGCCCGTACCATTGTTACTACAGACAGTTCTCAGGCCTATGCTCAAGTAACCAATACCTCAGATAAACCCGTGGTTCTCCAGCCAGATACGCCCATGGGTTCCTTTTGGGCCCTCCAAGACGATGACATCGCAGATTGCCTCGGGCCATCTCCGCCCGCGGTAGCTACAGCAGGCCCACCCATTGACCTCAACGAAACTGACCTCTCCTCGACGCAAGCTGAACAGTTGCGGAAGCTGCTGGACAACTACTCCGATGTCTTCAGCACCGGACCTAGGGACAGGGGTCGAACTAACCTCACCACTCACCGCATACATACGGGTGACTGTCCGCCTATCAAACAAAGACCACACCGCACACCTATCCACCGTCAAGCGGAAATCCACAGACAAGTTGACGCCATGCTGGCAGATGATGTCATAGAGAGGAGCCAAAGTCCCTGGGCCTCTCCGGTGGTGCTAGCTCGTAAGAAGGACGGCTCGTTCCGCTTCTGCGTCGATTACCGCAAGTTAAACCAGGCGACCATCAAGGATGCGCATCCCCTTCCCAGGACCGATGATGTCATAG